GTAACTTTATTAATAAATAAATGAGTAGCTTTCGAGAAAAGGACTCTGAAACACCGGCAATCATTTGCCGGCATTAACGGCATGTTCAAGTGCTCAAATATAATTGGGGTTTTCTAACTAATTCTCCAGAACTGAAAACTTGAGATGTTAGAGCCTTCGCCGCATCTACCCTCGTATCGTCAATTTAAGGACGAAGTAAGTTGTCGCTGTGGTGTTGCGCGAAAGGTATTATCCATTGTTCCCGGAGTGCACGGGGTTTCGTAATCGGCTGAAACGTCTGGCGAATGCCCCATGGGTATTCCATCGGCGCAAGAGTGTTGGATGTAGAAACGCTTTTGCGTAATGAGTAGTTGAGATTCCTTGTTAAGGAGCGCTCGAACTCCGCGCTGCGGCTTCCGCGGTTCCCAACAGATTTCGGCGCTTCGCCTAGTTTCTTCCTCCGGTCCTACTTCGTAGCCGATCCCGCGAAGGCTGCATCCCGGCATTGCACTCCATAGAGCGAGTCGATCTCGGTACATGTTATCTCGAGAAGCCAGCCGGGTAATTACTCGTGGAAATTCTTTTCCAAATTTAAAATTATAGTACGTAACTTTCTCTCTCTAGAATTCGAAACACTTAGCAGCGTTTTAATTGCGGAATTTCATTAAATCTCGGCAGATAAACAACAAGTGTTGTTTTAAAGAAACATATTAGTGTTGTTTTAAAAAAACAAGTTTAATACTTAAATTCGTGTATTTTTTTTAAAACTGTAGAAAAAATAGGAATAGTTCGAAAAATATCTTTTTGCAAGTACGAAGAGATATGAAGAGAAACAATAGAGAAATAGAGTTGTATGGTCAACTAATTTTATATTATATTCTTTCAAATGCATTTACCAAATGTTTTGACTTTGAATTCTTTTCTCTCTACGTCAAAAATATAATTTCACAACGAAATTAAAAATGTTTCCTTTATGAAATCTGGAAGACAAAAGAATAAAAGTTTTATATAATAAATTGATCATAATTATTTCGCGTAAACTAATGTTTTGTTTTAAGAGAGGAAGGAAAACTGGTTGGAAAAATCTTTTACGAATAAAACTTTCTCTATGACAATTCTCTTTATCATTTAAATAATTTTCCGGGAGAATTTTTTAAAAATATTATTAACATAAATTCAAGTATGTTTATTTTAAGAATATCCACATTTCTATCTCTCGTGTTAATGAATATATAATAATATCTGTGCCCTTTATCCTCTTCCGGCTATCTCATATCAGGCAAGCTTCTACGAATGAATAATTTGACGGAAAATTAAGAATTCAGGATACCCGGGGGTCATGTCTACACTTGTATAGCGGAACGATGCTACTCTGTGTATATTTGCACCGGAAAAAGATGATTAATTGCTTGGTGATATCTCTTATTTATGGCGAGAGAGAAAAAGAGGGGGGAGAGAGACAGGGAGAAAGAGAGACAGGAAAAGATGCGGAGGGACGTGAAGGGACGCGAATTGACACGGAGAGACGCGAGAGACGCGGAAAGACAGGGAGAGACGCGGAGAAACACGGAGAAACGCGGAGAGATGCAGAGAGAGACAGGGAGAGACAGGGAGAGACGCGAAGAGACAGGGAGAGACGCGGAGAGACAGGGAGAGACAAGGAAAGACAGGGAGAGACAGGGAGAGACGCGGAGAGACAAGGAGAGACAGGGAGAGACAGGGAGAGAGAGGAAGAGACGCGGAAAGACACGGAGAGCCGCGGAGAGACAGGGAGGGGGAGAGAGAGAGAGAGAGAGAGATATGAATGAAGACAATTTTTGTGTAAAAACATACTTAAGGTACATTTTTCATTCACTTTCTTTCACTTTCTCTTTCAAAGAATTGTACGTTTGTTTCCGCATTGCACAGTAGTGGAATAAATATTCTATTCCGCAGATTCTCCGTTTCAGATTATACAAGGTTTTGTCACTCTCTTTTTGCTGATTGTTCTTTGATATTTAAATTATTTAGAAGCACGTCGAACGTACATTTTCTCAATATATTATAATATAAAGTAAGCAAATCAAAACGAAAATTAATTTGCTCTCTCTTCTTTCTAGAATCTTATCTTCTTGATGAGTTATACAATAAATACCTAAAATAAATCTTTTTATAGTCCGATGATTGTTTTTTATAGAAACAATTTATATGCGCAAAACATATGTAATCATACTAAAAGTAATCGCGACAACAATAAGGAGAGAGAATGTCTTATAAGGATATTGTTGCACAGCTACAAACTATTTTATAGATCATCTCTCTATAGCACGACAAACTAACTCAGCAAGCTGCGGATCGTCACGTTCGTGCGAGCTAGTGGTAATCAAGACCGTAGGAAACAGCGGTAGTAGTAATAGCGACGGTTTGAAACTACCAGCTACGTTTCTCTTTGCGTCGTATAATTCTCCGATTTGCAAGAATTCGGATTGCTGAGAATATCAGAGATGAATTAAATTTTCGCGAAATTGAATTTACGGAAGATCCTTTCACGGAATAACCGATTATCTCTGACCAATATCTTAAATTAAGAGATGAAGTTAAAGTATCGAGACGTAAAAGTGCTAATAAATACTTGTGTGCTGAAGAGCGATCGAGAGCGTATCCGGTCTTGCCCCCGCGAAAATAATTCGTCGTTATCATCGAGTGGATATCTTACAGGAACGATTACAATATGCCGCGCGTAAACTCAGCATATCGTCGGAACATACGTCGACCCAATTGAAACTGAACTCTGCGGCTGGCCGATCCGCGCTAATTAATTACTGCGCTGCCGGCAAATTCATTACAACAAACACTGTTCCTAACAATGGTAGCGGCGAATGTTTAGCTACATTATCCTCGCCGTCCGTGTCGCTTGGCCGGAGCTGCTGCAACCGGTCATATTGTGACCGTACGTGTAAATTTCACGTGGTCGGCCCGCCGTGCGTATTTCGCACCTACATATTTTCCATCGAATTTGATAATTACCGCGGACAGAGTTGACGCGCCGTGTGACGCCGCGAATAATTATCATACGCGGCGCAGCGAAATGCGATTCGGCGTTGTTTATACCAAAAGTTTGTCCCGGTATGTAACTGACCGCAATTAATTCTCTCATTGAGAAGCGAAGTTAATCGCGATTATTTACTTTAACGTAATCCATATTTCAATCTGAAACGACAAATGCATATGAGAATACGAATAACGATCTGTAATAATATTATAATTTTGTGTTTCTTTTACCTCAAAGACGCTGTTCTTAAAGAATCTCTATGGAGTTCTAGATAGGCATTTAATTTTAATGAACATCAACTTTCTAACTTCGTTTTGTGGTACTCTGGGAAAACAAAGACAGTTAGCAACCCATTTTGGGGCCCACAATTATCCTATTCTATCTATATCCAAGATTTTTAAGTAATACTAATTAATTCTCTCAATTAGTTCTGTCGATATTCAGTAACACAAAGATAATTTTCACTTAAGAGGCACTAACCGAAATGTTAAGTTGTTTAACTACGAAAAAACGGCCCAAATTTTTCCCAGAGTAGAGTTACGAGCAATTGAAATAATTCGATTACTAATTGTGGGCCCCAAAATGAGTAGCTTAACTATCTCTTTCTTCCCAGAGAACTTTTATGCATAAAGAGCGAGATTAATAACGGATATTCCACCATACATGTAAGCTGCAGAGTAGAACATAAAAATTATTTACATTATACTACACAAACACTATGTACTATAATTTTTGGCTTAAATTTGGCTTAATAATAATAGATATTATATCATGTTACAGCACACCGATAATAATGTTAACAATAATGAGCCTCGTTACAGGTATATTACGAAAATGATAGTTTCGTATAGAATAATAACATAATTATGAAGATACGGTGATAGTTTGCATTGTTATGTTCAAATATCGTTGAATCGAATTTCGGGACTCGTGCCCTTGTCACAATAAGGAGAAACGAAAAACACGGGCGAAATAAGATAGGTAAAAAGGCGAGGGGTTGGGAGATAATGAACGTTTCTCCGTGGTGAACTTACATTGCTCGTTAACTTTGCGAGAAGTGAGGTAAACTCGCGGGGGCGAAAATGTCGATAGAAATACCCCGGAGATATCGCGGTCCAACTATAGAATGGTTAATTATAACGATAATTAGCGGGCACTTTTGCGATGGTAACTCTAGGCTCTTAGGCGTCGATCCTTCACTTTGGATTCGCTATCTCGAGCCCGAGTTCGAGAAGTATAAATGGAATATGATTTTGCTCTAATTAGCTATCCCTGGAATTGGGAAACTTTGTTCTCCATTCAGTAACTTCGACGTGAACCCATGTAACAAAATACTTTTACTGTATATTAATAGAATTAGCCAGTGTGGCTAGAAAACGTCGTTTTTATAATCGAGAGAACTTCGGTAAAGGACGAGGAGGGAGATCAGAAAACAAATTTATTAATATATAATCGAAATCTTATACACCGCGCGGGAGAATTTTCTTTTAAACTTTACCCTGAAAATCATGTATTCATGGGACAACGTGGTATTTTGAAGAACTTTGAGAGTTTTTGAAATGTTACCATATACATTTTACTAGTAATTATACTTAGTGTACATTTTACTAGTGAAATGTATGGTAAAATTTCAAAAAACTGTCATAAACTTCTTAAAAATGCCATGTCCCACGATTACATTATTTTCAGGGTAAATTTTAAGGGAAAATTCTTTCCGCGTAGGAATTATTTCGGGAAAATGGTCAAGGTATTCTTCACGAAATTAAAAATTTATACAGCCAGTGGCTTGTCGTCGAACTTTCGCCCCGAAAAAACCAATTTCTGAACCAAGAATAAGATCGTTATGAACAATCAAGTCTTGATGCCGAAAATTTGAATCGCTCGTTGTCGCGAAGCGACGCAGTTTCTCGAAGGCACTTGTAGCGACGTAACGACGTCATAGAAGCGTTTAATGAGCCCTGACTACGGATTCTCTTTTCTGTGATTTCAGACCTGCGAGAAATCGGGCGATTTTCGCGCGGTACAATGCGCCGCCTTCAACAATGTGCCATACAGCGAGCAACTGCTCAAATGGTATCCCCATTACGATCCGGCTAGGCCGTGCGCTTTGATCTGTCGCGGCGAGCAGACCCTCGAGAACGGCGCAAGACGGTCGCGGCAGGAAGTGAGCGAGAAGACGATGCCGCGCGATTCCACAGATAGCCTGCAATTCGACAGCGACGAGACGATAGTAGTGCAACTAGCGGATAAGGTGGAGGATGGAACGAGATGTTACACGGAGGGCACGGACGTGTGCATAGGCGGCGAGTGCATGGTGAGTGAAGTCTCCTTATATCATCATAGACGACTTTTTGTCGAGGCATAAGACACTCGGCGCTATTTCGCAATTTTTGACCAAGAGTTCTCGTAAAGCCAGCTGTAAACGATAATCCAATTAATCTGCATTATTCTCAGAATTGCCAGCAAGCAAAATGTTACTAATATGCTCGCAAACTCGAACACAATATTGCGGCAGATTGACATCAACTGTGTCCGCATTAAACCCTGTGTTCTGCCAGTAGAGCGTATCGACGTAATCCAACAGTAGATTGCCATCGGAATCTGAGCAGAATCTGATATTTTGGAATTTAAACGATATGCTTCAATTACTGCTTACAATTAGATGACATTATTTAGTAGGCTATGTAAAACGGTAGTTAAGCAGCGGTTTGTGCGGTCAATCTGCCACAATATTCTGTTGGCAACTTCTGCTGATAAAATTTGCAAAATTGTCGCCGACAGATTTGACTATCTGAGATTGAACAAAAATAATTTAGATTCACGGTTCATGGATATGTTAATAAAATCAGATAATTGAGTTTTTTCCTATATTTTTAATTCTGGGACACTTTATATTACTGCTTTTTAAAATAGGACACTTTACTCGATGTTTCTCTGAAAAAAAATAAATGAAAAGTTTATTCCAAAAAGTCCTATAATATATGACACGTTGGAGGATACGCCAGTTATAATTAAATAGTGGTATTTTCTGCAAGTACCTTTGATATAAACTGAAATACTAAAATCACAATAGATCACAAAAAATGGAATATCATCTTTTCGATGTCTTACGCTTTAGCATAGACAGGCGGATTGAGCTGGGACTGTGACGTCATTATTCTACGCTTATTGTGAACTGTCATTGATCCGACGCTTGAATTGAAAACCAACCGTACTCGAACTCTTTATCCCGATGCTCTTCAACGTCCATCACAATGCAGTATTATATGTGGGAGAGAATATAGCATCTATTTTATAAATGGCATCGCACACCAGAGCGTAAATTAGATGCTATATATTTTTCCAAAAATACCATTATTACGATAAAAATAATTAGAGCCAACGAAACTCTTATTGATAATTGTTTTAACATTATTTGTCATTTGTATTTCTTCAAACGATTCAACCTATGTAGGATCCGATCGTGAAAATTTAATAATTACGTATGAAAAAATATCTACAAGTACGCATGTATATGTGTTTTTTAATCATATGATAACGATTTGCAATTGGGCAGGAAATAAGACGTGAGCAGATAGTTAAAGTATATTAGAAATTAATCTCTACATGCTCCCATTTTCTCAGGTTTTGAGAATATAATCAAGATTGCAATTGAGCATTTCTGATAAAAGCATTATCTCACCAAATGTGATTATCTATTCTTCGACTCTCTTGATTTCTGATAAGAGGATAATTATCGATTCTTAACCACGATATTATCGGAAACCATGGATCTGTCACGCGCAGACCGCAGTATATTAGATGCGAGGAGCATTAAGCGATAGGTACAGTGCGCCGCTTGTCAGTCACTATAAATTGTCGGTCGATCAACACGTGAAGGCCTTTGCTCGTTAATTATCGAAATATAGCGATACTTACATTCCATTAATTTAACCGCAATTTAGCTGCTAACGAGGCATATTGCGGCTCGTAGTAATCTCGATTATGTTATTTGTATTTTTTCACGTAAGATTTTTACATTGATCAGCAAACAGTCGATCGTTAAAAAGGGATATTTGCAAATAAATAAAATAAAGTCGCAAAAAAACTTGATTGAGAAACGTTATTATGGTTTTTCGCGAAATATCGAGTAGTTAGGATCGATTCGTCTAGATACACAAAGACGCAACTGAAACGTGTAAATAATTGAAAGTAATGATGTTTGAAATGAAAATAACATTTTGATTTATTAATCCATTTAACTACTCGTTTGCATTGTTAAATCGATGGATCGCGATTTGCCTAGTACCTTGGGAATTTACATATTAAATTCACTATTAGTTTGGTCACCACGTTTTGAACATCGGTATAATCCGATCTGTAATTTTGATCGAATAATTACTCAATTAATTAATCAAGAGTCGCGTGTGAGCTGAGCAATATCCCCGAAACGAGTTGCCTGAAACAATAAATTGGAGTAACCTTTGCATTCGCATAAAAGCTATGTTTGAAATTAATTATATTAACGTGAATACAAATTATATTAAATTATTGATAATATTTAATATGAAAAGTTGACTTTAAATTAATCAAAGATCAGAGTAGCAGACAGCAGAGAGCGGTAATATTAGAGGAATTTCCGTGCAAAATACATGCATAAAACGGACGTACGTACGTATAGTGTTTCTGATTTCTCCATACTTTTTTCCCCCCTTTTTACTAGTCAATAAAGTAGGATTCAAGAAGAATTTGACAAATTATTAATTACGTGGATAAAAGCAACGTTCTTAAATACTTCGACGGAGCCAGCTTTAAGCCCGGGGATTAAACTGAAGGCGTTACTTAAGAATTTAACCGCAATTGCCACGTCTCTTGTCGAAACTTTGTAAGATGAAACTTTTGGAGTTAGTAGAGAGAAACTCCGAGGTCGGGAGAAGAGATTCGCGCGAATGTCGGCGCGTAGGCGCATGTACCAGGATAGTGCCTTAAACGTATTCGCAACTCGTTGCTTTCTGGCGCCGCTACAACGCCAGGCAAGCTCCGCGTCGTGTTGAGAAAACGCAACTTAACGAAGCAGCCAGGTCAGTCGTCTGCTAATATTTAACATGGGCGCGTCGAGAAGCCCGATCTCATCGTCCATTAACTTAATTTGATCAACGTCACGCGTGTATATGCAGATGGTCTAGGTATGCAAACACGTATATTCTAGGAGCGTAACGTGAGATAATCATTCAGTACTATTGCACAATAACGTTCCCTATTGGGTCGTTTTAACAAGGTAAAGTTTTTGTATTTTCAGAAGTGCACACTTTCAACTTGATAATTATGAATGAGGTGCCTTTTAGCGAAAGTATTCGTAAATAACTGCAGTCGCGTATTTAATTACATTGTGCGCATGATTTGTTCATTACGTAATTGACTCAGCTTTAGCGAAATTACTGTACGGATTAAATTATTATTACTACGTTAAACTGTAAGGTACACCACCCATACAGTCCCTGAGATTATTTAATCCGTCGTGTGAATTTGCATCTCGTAAATATATATTTTACACATCTCTATATTTTATTCGCCTAAGAAGTACAGCGCGCGTCCACGCCCTAGCATTAAAATCTTAATTCTTTGATCCTAAATTAAATGAGACTCGTGATACTACAAAACAACCAGAAAGAAATCGGATTAACAATAACGCTGGGAAAAGCGCGCTCGCGGTATGCCGGGAAATAATTAACGAATTCTCATAATGGCAACGTCGGGCGACGCAGTCGCAGGGACAATATCTAATCAGCAGAGAAGTCCACGTAATTAAGCATTAAGCAAACTCCGGTAAACGCAAACTGGCTTTGCGTTATTAAAAGTGCCGAGTCCCGCTTTCGTTGTGGGCACGCCCGATGGACGCGTCGAGCTTTTTCATTACGTCGCGCACTCGTTAAAATGTATCTTCAGGGCGAAAAAAATTATTACGCCATTCCCCGTTGTGATGGGAATAGCGAATTTTCAGAAATTACATCAATCGGAAATTGCGGCGATGACATCAGCGTTCTTCTTCCAGCGTGTTCCGGGGAGACATATTAGCATTCTGCGAGCGTTTCTTTGACATTATTCGCGAAATCCAAAAGCCGGTTAAAACCGCTTTTTATATAGTTATCGTTTTGGTTGTTTCGCCGCAAGTAAATTTTGATTCTAGCCAAGATGCAAAATATTTATATATATATTTGCCGCTTATAAAGCGAATATTATGCCCTGAAAGCCTTTTATATGCTGTTATCAAAGTCATATTAAACATCTATCATTGCTCCTTTTTAGTAAGAGGAAACTATCCGTTAGGAATAAATATGCGGATAGTTTTCTCATTCTTATTAAACTGTGAAAAAGTAAGAGAATATTTTAAATAAATATGGGGGCAAAAAATACTCTTTAAACGAAGTATGCGAAGGTATCTTATTAAAGTTTGTTCTTAACTTTCGGCGTGCTATTTTCTGAAAAGATTTTGACCATGATTAATGCCGCGGAATAAAAAGAAGAGAGAAGAAAGTAACCATACGAGGCAAAAATTTGCTACCCGGAGTCCTTGCTCGTTTCTTTCTACTCCATTTTCTAGGTTTCGCCCAGTTCCTTCTTTTCCCTTCTGAAACCTAATTCTCCATTTTCAGTTGCTTATCTCTAAAGTAATTGATGTTCCGAAATTGAAATAAGCTTTTCCTCTTGGATTACCCTCCAAAGTCGAAAGAGGAAACGCACGCTGTATAATAGAAAATAGATGTATGATAAGTACATATTGAATCCGAGCCGTGTAGTTCTGGACAGGTACACAATAAATTTCATCGTGCCAGTGAAAACACGAGGGCGAATAAAGTGCCCGGGGGTTAAGCACCCCTTCCTCCATTCTGTAAATCCTATTCTCGAGAAAACTATGTTAAAAGGTGGAAACGAGTGCAAGGGAAAGGAAGGTGAGGCACGGTAGCGGGGAAATGTCGATGGTGCGAGGCTGGTAGAAAAGGCTGGGTGTATCCTAATGGGATAGCGACAGCAAGGGGTGCTAAGGACCAGGAAGGTACATGGAGCATCGAATAGAATCTCGAGGGCGAATAATTGAATGCCAGTCAAATTTACGTAACGAAATCGCTACGGTATGGAAAATGGTCAGACATTAGCAATTATCGTCCTTGCTAATCTCTCTGATTCTTCAATCTGAATAGAGAGTGCTTCGGCTCGGTAATCGATTTCAATCTCAGTGTATTCGGACAAGTACTAAGAAGTATTATCTTATTTTTCTGCAAATCTCTTTCTTGATCTAATTTCTCGGACGAATATTTTAACACGAAAAGCTTTGGGTATTCCGTTACACGCGTTGATATGAAATAACTTAAATTATTAACTCTCTACATGTATGCACATGTATAGCGATGCACAAATCATAAGATACCTATATTTAAATCGCAATCGGTAGATCGAAAAATATTCTTCTAGAATTATTTTTTCTTCGTTGCTATTAAATACGATGTAATATCGTGTAATAACATACTGTTAATAATAGCAGTTTGTATGTATAACAATAATAGTGTCAATAACTGTTATTTATTATTTTTTGCCGTCACGTATTACAGCGGTTATTTGTGCGGGACCAGAAAAGGGTCGCAGAGTACCGTTAAGTCTCGCAATATTTCATCTCTCACGCCCAGAGGAATTCTCGTTTTCTCCCGTCTTGTTTACCTACAGAAATAACGGGTTGCTTCGATGACCCTATCTTTCAATTATCGGGCCCCATCATTGATTTCCACTTTCGCGAAAGTAAACCTAATCCGGCGCACCCGCGTGCCGTGTCTTTTATATAAAGAGGCACACGTGTCTATTAAGATACCCCATTCGATTCTGTCGTCATACACGACGCGACGGTGAGGAAAGTACGAAACAAATTCATTCTCATATGAAATTAAATTTCGGCAAATCCCAGATCTGCCGGATGCCAGCCGTCCCATCCGGTGAACGTTGATCCTCCAGCTTTTCCGTTTCTCTCATGAATTATCCTCGCGGTCGTGAATAAAATGAAAAAGAAATTACAGTTATATAAACTCGAGTACTTTTATTGCTGCGTTTTGAATATTGTTGTGTATATTCTTGTGCATATATTCTTTGCCGAATTAATATTTTAGAAATTATATCGTTTTACTAATATTTATTTCAGAAGAAATCGCACACTGAGGATTTCGATTAACTAATTGAGACTACATATAGCGTAGAAGAAGGAAAACGCGCGTTGCGTTCCTACTTGAAGATTGAATTTTACACGAGCGCATCGAACGTATCTCTTCCGTTTATGCCAGCGAGAATGTATCTCTCAATTCTTGGTCCGGCGCCCCCATTCACTTGAAAATTTTTGCTCTCCGCGTTAGTGTAACGTTCTCGATGCGTGAAGCGCCGACCGCGGCTATTAAAGAGCCGAATCTCTCGTTTCGAAAGCGCAGAAATAAAGTATCTGCCTAAACTGGCTTCTGCATTGCTGCGCGGAATAAAACTGCACTCGTAACCGCCGCAATTCGCCGAATGACGATCACCGATGTTTAATGGAAGTATTTCGCAGAGCGTTTGAAACTTGAACGATAATCGAGCCCGATTTCGATTCTGCAGCAAAATCGAACGGCCAATTGGGTCGAAATGGAGACCGTCGTGCCGCGCGCACGCCGTACTGAATTTAGCGCGCAATTTTCGTTCGGCAATGTCTAGCTCTCATTAAACGACACCGTTGCACGAAATCGTATATAAAAAAAAAAGATACGAATGCGTAATAGCGGATGGATAATTTATGTGATTGGAGAGTATAGCAATTAAGAGTAGCAGCGTTCGCAGGAGGAAAATGCATCATAATGCAGAAATTAATAAATAATAAAACATTATTTCCTAAATCAAGCAAGAACGATCGTACATTGATGCACGCAAATACATAATAAATCATGTTTACAGAATACTTGAGAAGGGTCCAAATCCCGGACCGAAACGTCGTTAGTTTTTTAAAATAAAAACATTGACCAGTGTAGGTCGTTTCAATAAACTATCATTGGTTTTATATTGCTGGCGACAGCAAATCTTTTTGTGATAAATAATTACATCAAAATATCAAAATATCAGGTGGTATGGAGGAAAGTCCTCTATTATTTTAGATAGCTTCTAAAAAGATAGCAGGTTTTTAACATCAAAGTTTAACCACAATCTTTATTCACACGATCTAACAATAAATTTTCCGCTAGATTTCACTCCAAGGGTAACAAGTTAACGATGAAACCACACGGAGAGAATTCTTTCTTAAAATTTACCCTAAGAGTCATGTAATCGTGGGACAACGTGGCATTTTGAAGAACTTTATGAAAGGTTTTTAAAATTTTCCCATACATTTTACTAGCGAAATGTATACCAAGTGTAATCACTAGTAAAATGTATGGTAACATTTCAAAAAAACTCTCATGAAGTTGTTCAAAATGCCACGTTGTCCCACGATTACATGATTTTCACGTTGAATTTTAAGAGAAGGAGTTTATCTCGTAATAACGCACTTTCCTCTAGCAATTATTCGCCGGCATCCGCGTGTTAGGGGGGGCAAACGGCAATCGTGAATCACGCTCTGTATCGAATTTGACTCCGCTATTTCCACGCTTTCCGCTCGTGCTGTCGAACCGGACGCGCGTCTTCAGATTCGCCGGCACCGGAAGCTTAACCGCGTAGGTAATTGGAACGAACGATTTATTCGCGTCGCAGGTCGCTGCGACGAAATCTAGGATTATCTCGGCGCCACCGCAGTTGATCGTACAGGGGAGATCCCTCGTTAGGCTCACGTCCCTCTCCTTTTTACTCCCGCACGCCCCGCCGCTTCCTCTCCGGCATCTCCGAGGCGCGTCCCGCTCCGCTTCGCGCCTTCGCCTTCCAGTTTGCTTCACTCTTCTCGCCCAGGATAAGGGATGAATAATGTACTCCCCGACCTCCGAGCAAACCTCCATGCAACCTGAATGACAAATCAGTTTGCCGTCCGAGCCAGGTCACGAATCGACGTCAGCTCTCGCCTCCTCTCTCGCAACCCCCCCCAGCACCATCTTCTCCTCCTCAAAGATCCTGAATTTTCGCGGGACTTTTCCCGTTCTCGTATGAATCCCGATGGCACACCGGCATTCGTCAACGTTCTTAATGTGTCCGGGATACCGCCGATACTGCAAAACTCTTTTAGCTCCAACGACGGTCGAAACAGGAAAAATTTCCTGTCACGTAAACAGTAAATCGATATAAGTGCGATGCGACTTCTGAATCAGCAATAAAATTCTGTAGAATTTTTGTATTCAGCGCCGAACGACAATTTGTTAATACTCGCTGGAAACTGGACAGAACTATGGACAAACGAGAGAATATTTCTAATCTTTCTTCTGCGCTCGCGCAAGCAAATTTTCGAGCAATTCTTTCCGTCCAAGGATAATAATTTTAATTTAATTGCCATTATCGTCATTCTTTCGTCAATGACGATTCGCAAAATGGCAGAAGAGAAATGAACGTGCTTTGAACGATTCTTTAGGGCAAGATTATTTGTCTCTGGTAATGTGTTGGGAAGCAATAACGACAACGGCGGCTGAAATCCATTATATGGAAGACGTGTTTCATTAATCGAGCGTGGATTTCTGTTGCAGAAGGTTGGTTGCGACCTTCGAGTTGGTAGTAACAAGAACACAGATGCGTGTGGCGTGTGCGGAGGGAATGGATCAAGCTGCCAATCGCGATACTCCTGGAGTTTGGAATCGATATCCGCCTGTTCCAAGTCCTGCGGTGGAGGTCTGTAATTACTGAATTAATTTAGCCCATATTTCCCTATGCAAACAATCGCGCGAACAAAGTGGCGTAATATCGCATGAAAATGCATCGATTTGCTAAAGGTATCATCTCCGAAGTATCCATATTTATTTAATTCGTGATACATCAAAAAAAATATATAAAACTACGACCCTTAGAATTCGAGATGCGATATCTTTTACCGCACTCCACAATCCCCAAGCGTACGTACGTTGTGTAACTGTTTGAAAAGCTAAAAGAAGCCACGTCGTGCTCGTAAGTAAGAAGATAACGAGTGAAATTCACGAGCATCGCGGCATTATTTGCATGAACGTTCGCCATCAAATTGGAGGGCTAATTTGCCGGTCACGTTTTTGCGCTAATAGGTTTCAAGATAGGGATGGCGGTGTGCAAATCGGCCGACGAGAGCGTCGTGGAGGACAGCTATTGCGATGCAAACAGCAGACCTTCGGTGAAGTCCTTAATGCCGTGCAACACGCACCCTTGCACAACGAAGTGAGTACCTTTCGGACAGACTGAACTATCTACGGTAGAACTGCATGCACGTTCTACGTCAAAGAAACGTCAAGCCACTCGCGTGTACAATTGAGAAGTAGATATTATAGGTGCCTCACCCCGCGAGCCTCCGCACGCGCGATTTCGCCCGCCGAACAATAAAATATCCGCTCCGTCTGTGCATAAGATACTATAAAATGTTACTCTCCCCCTCGTGACTCGCATTAACTCGCGAATAAATCGCATTTCTCGTACGAACGGTGCCTCGGGAGCCTCGAGCGAGCGAGCGAAAAATTGGGGGCTGGCACTCGGTACGCGATCTCTGTTCCTGCAACAATATTTTCTCTTTCGTCTCGCGGAAGGGTTGCGGGGCGGCGATTTAAAGCCAGTTCTCGCTACGGGAATCGTTCGACAAACGACGAGATACTCCGCCGTCGACGGGACTCGGGGTAAAAACTCCCGCAAACTGTTCTCTCTGGATCCAGCGGACCCGCTGAAAGTCGTGGAATAGCGTTGAAAGTTTTACCGTCCGGTATATAGAATCTCTTCTTTGTGTTCGAATTCACGGCTCGATGTCCGCGGGACGATCGACGATTCCTGCCGATTGTCTTTCGTCGGGGGGTTGCGTTCGGTCTCGCGACTAAAAGCGAAGTAACGGGGAGCGCTGCTCCTTTTTGTTTTTTTTCTTTTACGATTGAATCGCGAGCCTCCACTCGGCAAGAAATTAGAAGAAATCTCGTGCTGTAATGTAACAGGCGCCAGTTGCACGTTGTAAAATTGCATCTGAGAGACGTATTAGCTCGCTTCGTCGAGCGGACGGTTCCGCGCTGCAATATATCTCACTCGATCTATCTCACGTCACTCGATCGATCGATTTGCGAGGACGCAAGAAAATTGCCGGTTTGGGATACGCGACGTCTGCGACGACAGTGCCGCTAATCGGATCGTATCGTTTAACGATCGTTTAAGATGGGCGGGTGGCTCCTACAGCGCGGCACGGCGATAGCGCACGGACTTCGCGATTACGAGCCGTTGATAAATCAGCAGCCGCGGCATCGATCGCGCAGCAAATCGGTCAATGGCTAATTGGAGTGGCCGCTAGTCCAGTTTGAATTTAGTTGGGCTAAACGGCCCACCTTTCTCTCCCCTAAGAGGACTCCAACCACCGTGAAAAGCCGCAACCGCGCTTTGTGGTGGCAATCCGGAAGTTATGATTTAATCGCACATTACGACTTATCCCTTAGTTATTTAACGCTGAGGTGCATAAGCGATCTCCAACATCCGATCGCGAGTCGTGAGTGCTTATTAAAATTCAACTATTCGTGTAGCCGGTCTCGAGAAAAATTATATCACAGAAATAATAATTAATAAAGATTGTTAATTCCATTTATAAAATACTCACACGAAAACGCATAGTATAATATAATTATGCTTGTATCAAAGGACGTGTTTTAGAATGAGTTTCAAGCACTGCACCCAGAAACAAGATTTCATTAGGCTAAACTTTTGAATTGAAATAGATTCTCTTAGAAGTTCCAGTCTCAATGAAATAAAATTTTGGTTAAGGTAAAGAAGTCTCATTTCTTTGAAATAAAATTCAAGTCTAGGGTCAAAATTCAAGCAAACTTTTTTCTGGGTGTACGACACGGTGGTCCGGCGTCTTCTTATTTATATGGCACCTGTCGTCTTTAGAAGAACAATACTGTCAGAAACAATTTCCGAAAAAAGGAGTGCACTTGAATCAATATTAGGGGAACGGAAACAATTATGGTAAAGAAATTCCTCCCTTCCGGGTCGGTCTCATCACTCTAAGTCGCAATCATGCTTCCCCGACCGACCTGCTCGAGCGAGACTTTTCCAGACTCGACGGTCCGGCGTCGAGTGTTGCGGATTTTGGAGAACAGGCACGCGTAAAGGGGGGGGGGGGGAGGGAAATTGAAAAGGCTGGCAGTAATTAATTTCAAATCTCGGGGATCACCTGGCGTTCGTGGCCTCCACCGAACGTTCTCATATACCTAATGCACGCGGCTTTGCCGTAGGAAATTGAACGCATCAAAGATGACTTTGAGGATCACGTGGAAAAGAAACGCTCGCGAGATCGGCAAGGTCGGCGGTAATCGATGATCGATATTCCGCACGTAAACCCAGACATGAGCGGGAGTTTACCGTTTCACTTTGTCATTTAGCGCAATCGCTCGTACACGGAACATTTTTACGGCGTCGCGCATGAAAAATGCCCGAGAGTGACTTTGACAGTTTCATAAAAAGCACGTTACATCGATGGAAGGGCACTTCACCCGTATTACTTGGTAAATGCTCAACAAATCTGTATCTTCCCCGGACACGCCGGGGCTGGAAACCGTCAAAGATACCAGTCGGCGAGTTTTAATAGAGAAACGCTATACGGCATTTAGATCCGAAATATCCAGCGACGTGTCAAAAGCGAAGCTATTTCTACCATTTACCCGATGATGGCGCGCGGAAATTTTCACGACGTCGTAAATTGAAAAAGCTACCGATGAGATAAAAGAAACACAAAATGCATTACTTTGCGGAAGAAGTGAGATTGATATAAAACCTTTCGGGGTGGTTATTTTCGCCGTGGAATGGAAAACCCGCATACCTTGGAGGAAACTATTTTATTTTACGCACTTCAAGTCTCTCCGCGTTATCTTCGTGTTCAGCGTGTATAACTAATGCGAACATTGTGTCGCATTACGGAATGAACAATTCTGCATTGTCACGATGGAAAAGCGGAGGGAGCGAAGGTAGCGCGGGCAAGATTTTGGCAATCCGCATGCGAGGTTCTACTTCACGTTTTGAAACCCGACAACCCGCGTGTTCCGCGAAAACCGAACGTGAAAAATGAACGTGCCCATCGATGCAAAGGAACGAGAAGCGCATCGATGAGAGCACCCGCCGCATTTTGAACGCACTTCAAGCAGCATGTCGCCATCCCCGGATCATAAACTTTACATCCAGGCCCACGCTGGCACGTTCGTCTTTCTTTTTTACGCCGATTTTAAATAACGTACGGACCCGCCGGTCGTAATTTTTTCTCCCCCGGCAAAGGTGGAATATTAGTCGGGTTTCATCAGCACGTGCAAGTTTGCTGTGTGCAAATGCAGCTGCGTGATCGCATAACAAACTTAATCTTGGTATCAATAATTAAGCTTACAATCGACCACAACTGGCAACGTGTTTTTAACACAGAAAATTGATTGCGAAAAATGTTACCTCAGCCAGGGTTTGAACCTGGACTTCTCTACACGAGTGTCGTTGCCAGTTGTGGTCGATTGTAAGCTTAATTATTGTTAGTCATGTGCCGGCGTCAAATAATTCTTGATGTTAATCTCGGTATGTTCCTGGCGACACCCCCGGCACCTTGAACGAGCGCTCTTTCTCTATCTTTCCAGGTGGATGAACGGGGAATGGAGTGCGTGCAGCGCGAGCTGCGGCGGCGGCTCGCGAACGAGGTCCGTCTTCTGCATCGAGGAGAACGGGAACGAAACCACTAAGGTAAATCCGGGGGAAAGGGCTTCAATAATAAAGTTTTCGTTTAGTCGAGTTTTCTCCTCGACTCCACGACGACCTCGGTGGAGTTCGAGATATTGCTTATCTCTTAATAACGCGAAATGTACGCTTAGTTACGCTCGAATTTCAGCCCGTGTTTCGACATTTCATATCGTGGAATGGTCCTGGCTGTCGATATTATCGGCATTTGTCTTAAATATAACAACTGTTATTTATCCGTTGTTACTTTCCATTATTTCATTTAATGACTGTTTGTTATCCGTCTCTCCTCTAATTATTAAAGAATCTATTATCGGGAGAGCGGATGAGAGACTCCTCATAAAAGCTTCACACTCGCGCAGAGCACGCGGGGTCCAAGATATCGTAATTAAATTGTTTATATTTGTCTAACGACGCGAGAAATCAATACAGTCGTGTGCCGGCGGTGACCCGGTCTCGAAAATCCCGTCAAGTGCGTCCGCGTCTACCCACGGGGAGAGAGGGAGATGTCAACGCTTTTTACGGTGTAAAGACAAATAAATCTTTCTGGAATAAATCTGCCACGGCGCGACGGAATCAACGCTACGCGTGCACACGATAAAACGCCACATTTTTCACATTTCGCCACTGACGTTAGACACGGCCGTAATTCCGCCGCGCTTCCGCGCGGACGGAACGTTAACCATTCCTCTCATCTCGGAGAATTTTATGCCGTACTTTCGTACTTGTCTGCGAGTCGCATTTACATACGCAACTCTGTCCCGCTTCTCCGGCCTCGGAAGATCCCACGATCCCTAACCCAGTTCGGTTCGTTTAAACTCGAGGAGCTGCTCCGCGAGTACACGCCGTCGCTCACCGTAAAACCTCCCCGTCCGACAGCTCTCACGCACACGTGCATACGTAGCCAGCGTACGTTCATATTTCATACATGCAGGGTGTCCCGCGCAGCCTACAGCTCCAGACATCTTTCGCGAATTTATGCAGCATATTTACGACTGATTTTCCCCCCCAACGAAATTTTTTTATCGCAATTTCCTAAATTTTCGTATCAAACGTCTCGGTGATCTTGGAAATTGTATTTCTGTCGATTCGATTCTCGTGTTGGTTACTCGTGAGGACCTTTCAATGTTGAATAATTCGGCGACTGTCGGTGCTCGAAATCATTTTACAAGTAACCAGAGAAGATGTCATTTTCGGTCGGGGTGGATCTTGGTAGCTTAGTATATTTTCTGCGTGAATTTTGTATACTTTCTCCAACTCGGTAAGATTATTTGTCGGTTCTAAAATACAACTTCTCGTTGGAACAGCAAATCCACACGGAAAGACCGGTTAAGGCAAAAATAACTAAAATTAAAATAGTCGCCGTATAAATGTTGCGACACAAAAAAATCTACATTGTTTTGTGTCGCAACATTCACTAAGTTTGCTGCACAAGGCGCATGTGGTTGTCTCCACTACTTATGGGTATGACAACCACAGATATACTCGTAGCTGTCCCAAATATTACTATTTATTGGGAATGTGCCAACCCTAATTAGACATGTGGTAACCAAATCGGTCTCTCCGTGTGATTTAATTTTTGATGCTAATAAGCATCATTTTTAAATCACCGTAAAGAATTTGCGAGAAAACATCACATGTGGTATTAAATTTGTAGCAATAGCCGATAAATATTCTGAATTTTGGTAACTCAATAATATTTTCGGAAGTTTGTGTACTTATCCTTTTTCCAATTCAGTAAACTCCACGTGTCGTATTTATCGGCCTTAAAACACAGCTGTAAGATTTATACGCACATTGATTATTTGTCGGTCTTAAAACACATTGTAAGATTCATATCAGTCATTTCTTATTGCTTGCATCGCCTGAGACAAGATGTTCTCCTTAAAGATTCACCGGTTATTGCTATACACATCACCACGTGTATCAGTAGTTGAATTAGTAAGGGCGCAATCGCAGATTGTAGAGAGATTCATGTTCAAACTCAGACTGGGATGATATTTTTCGCAGTAAATTCTTTACAGCAGGGAAACGCAACTAGATTTTTTGGCTGGCTAAATGTAAAATTTGGGGTAAAACCGCGGGCCGCAGCAATTAAATTTACTCTGTAAAAGTCAATCAGTGGATTATCACTGAAACCAATGAATACTCACTGATTCACAGCTGTAAGTGTATCACTGAAATATTCAGTCGTACACTTAGAACTGTTTTCAGCGATAATCCACTGATTGACTTTCAGAGAGTAGAATTTAATCTTTTTTTTTTATTTGCGGAGGAAAATTTCCCGATTACGAGATAGGATCCTAATATGGAATAATGGAATTTCTGTTAATTAGAGCGAAATCTGTTTAGTGGAAAATTCACTGTTAGATTGTGTAATCGTTGCGAAAAAAGATTTGTAATTGAATTAGGGTGTTGAAAAAAAAACTTGCTATCTTTTATTAGAAACCTCTTTCATAATAGAAGACTTTCCTCTATCAACTAGGAAACAGCACGTGGAGGCAAAGTTGAATCCCTGTTATTTAGAGGCGTTTTTGAAATCTTTCACGTTTTCTGTGGGTTAAACTTGGACGTCGCGGATCGGATTGGAAAGCTTTGACGGCCGAATTCGGCCTGCGAGCCGCCAGTTGCGTTCTACAATAAACGCAGCAAATCGCAGGCCGCAAGAAATCGATCAATCACAGTCAAATATGAGAAGAATAATCGACTGCCACTGTCCGATTTCTTGCGGCTTGCTGCGTCTATCGTAGATCCAGCCTTGTAGCGACTTAAAAAGGATACTTGTTAGCATCAGAAGTTGTCAATTGTTGATTTAAGTACGTGAATTTACTGTTCCAATCAAAAGCTGTAGTTTAACCGACAAGTAATCAGCGCGCAGTTTACTAATTGTGAATGGAAAAAAAGTACAAAATTCGTACGGAAATATTACTATTGGGCCACCAAGATCCAGCCCGACCGAAAATATGGCTTCTTCTTTTTCTTCGACTTGAAGTAGGCTCGAGCCTGTTTTTCCGATTAATTAATAATTAATTATAATTCGCCTGTTGCGACCCAGACGTCCAGCTGTCCATCCATCGTTTCGGTGGTCTTCCTGGTGGTCTTCTTGAGTTTGGTTCTCCCATCCCTCGCAATCCTCGCCAGTCTTCCCTGAAAATATGGCATCCTCTGTAATTAATTCCGATAATAATATTAAACTGTTGCTGTTGCAGCTACCAGATCACAAGTGTAGCAGCACGCACAAGCCGCGCATTCAGGAGACCTGCAACACCGTGTCCTGCCCGATGTGGGAGACAGATAAATGGAGCGAGGTGAGAGTGCATACGATTCTACGCGAGTAAAATGCGCTGGAATACAGGCGGAGACACGGCGTTCTCGCTCGTATCATTTAAGAGCGTAAACGTTAAGCCTTCTCGCCACAAGCGTGGATTTAGGTGCACTCGCAGGGTCCAGTTGCAAACGCGTGTATGTGTCTATCCATCCGCGTGTATACCACTCGCACACGTACGCAGAGAGTACAGCACAGCTTGCTATCTCAACTACGAGTTTTACTGCAAAACGTACTGCCCAGATGGAAACAGGGTTAATGGTTGTGCGCGATTTGCACGCTCCCTTTACCCTCCGCGTAAACGTTACTGGGTTGTTACGCGTATAAAATGACCGGTTCGGATAAAATTGTACTTTTAAATCTACGACACTCCTGATCATCGATTACCTATGAAACACGTACAAGCTAACTTAATGTAAGACTTTCCGGGATTGATCCCGTAACATCGACTTCCTTAATTTGACAAATTTGACAAATTTCCAGCGATCGCTGTCTGTTCCTACAATCTTTAGATAGACTGAGCCAGTGGAAGGGTGTTTATATAATTATCGATTTCTAAAAGTAGCAATAGGCAGAAATAACTTAAACTGAAACCGCTAGCGGCAGGTGCACAGTTAGCTTGAATCCAAACCGATGTGTCGAAAGATCTAACAATTAGCGGATTAAAGGTTTCTCAAATGATCTCGGCGGTACGCGCATTACTCAAAGCGCGCGCGTTAATTTATCTGTAAATCCGGATGGCGACGTTATTACACGTTCGGGGCACAAACGCGCGCGCAGGAAGGAAGCCTCTAATTATAAAACTCTGTTTCCATCCGTTGCCCTTTTCGACAGGTTACAACGTACCACAGCGTTTAAGGGTAAAGCAAATTAACAACTGCGCGCGATTTGCACGACGCGCGCCCGTAGCGACGGATACGTCATCGCGAATTACACGGGAACGCGACCCACCTCTTTCCGCAATCACGATTTCGCGTCCGTTTCTCTGCGGAGAGAATGCGATTTTCTCGAAAAGCCGCGTGGTACAACCGTCGTAATTGCACGCGGACGACGGGTCCGACCAGAGATGGATAAAGTTGCGTCCGACGAGGACGACGCTCGCAAAGATTTCCGTCGACAGAGGTAGCGCAAGTTTTCAAAGCTCATTTGGAACACAAGGACGTCAGATTTGGCACTTTTGTTATATTCGATTCGTCCGGTGTTCCCGTTGAATTGATTTTTCGCGCGGACAAACGATCTATTTTTGTTTCTTTTTGATAAAAGCCCATTCTTCCTCGATTAGGCGTGCAGGAAAAAGACTTGATTAATCATTCTTATTCCTGCAACGTTTCTAAATTAACGCTTTAATTCAAGACCGATGAAGAAGTCACGAAAGTATTCCTGCAATTAATTGTACACTTGCATTCCTCGGGTCTGTTTTTTTTTCCAAGTCGCCAACTACGGTAACGTAATCTCGCCCGATATAATTTTGTCGGTATTTAATTGCTTTTGGTAAAAATCACAAAACAACACGCGAATTGGATTCAAGTATGTTATTCAAGCGTGAATTATGGATCAGCTCGCAAATAATCTAGTTTACGTTTAATTTTGTGCAAACAACTCGTTTGCGCGTAGCATGGAATGCGATAAATTTCTCATTCTTGATTAAGGCAATTTGTTTGTTTCTACCGCTTTACGCGTCAGCGGAGATGCCTTCGTTAAAATATATTTTAATCCTTTACCGACACGCTGAAAGTTTCCACTTGTAGCGCATGGATTCCCCCCGTCTAAATAAATTGAAACGAAGTTCCGCGAGTTTTACATACACACTTTGCGCCGCGTGTTTTTATTTTCTTCCGTAGCGTTTAAAACAAGTGTGCACGGCGTTGCGCGCGTGTCCAAACTAATAACACGCGATACATAAAATTGCAACAAATAATTTCGTTGGTTTGCTTGAAACGAAGCGGAGCAACCATTGCGATTTCGAGTATCAGTCAGAAATACTGCCCTTCAATTTGACGCGGGGCTCTCGTGATACCCTCGCGAGGCGCAGACGAAATATCTGTGGAACACACATTGATATCAGTGCACTAGAAAAATTATTAACTCGGCAGGAGCGGCTCTAATATACGTCCAAGATGCTCTCAAAAGGAGCATCGTGACTCAATAGCTGGCTCGTACATTTGCTCTCCGCGCGGAGAGAAAGACGGAGCATTTGCTCTTTTTCAAGCAGAGATGATTGTATCGAGGAACGGACGAGCGTGGATAAAACGGCACTCTCATTCGCACCGCCGCGTCGTCTGCCCGACGACTAAATCGGATTTCCTCGAAGCCGAGGAATCGCGAATCGCCCGAGCGGAACATCGCCGTCGCCGTTCGCCGTCGCGGCGGACGGGGAGGGAATCCTCTTCCGCACCGCGGTATGAAAGAGAATGCGGTAACGTTCTCGCTCCGCGGAGATACGGCGTCAAAATGGAGCCAAGACTGTAAACTGCCTCGCCTCCTACCGTGTCTACGAATTACGTCTAAACCGCGCGAGTGGGCGAGCGTACGCGCGAGACTCGCCGTCTCTTTCTTTCTCCGAGAGAGATGTCTTCTCCGAGCTACCATCGCCCACAAGCCCCACTCCAGGCATATTCTTCCTCGCGGAGCTCTTTGAGGACGCTCCAGGCCACATCAGACACCAACATCAAACAGGACAATTTAGTCGCCAAATAACTGCCTCTCGCCTCCCCCCCCCCTGCCGTCCCCCGTCTCTTTTCCGACCTACCCCTTTCCATCAAAATCCTCGGCTGGCCTGGTGAAAGGCAACCGCGTTGCCCTTCTTTCCATGGCAAAGCCCAAGTTAAGAGGGAAAGAAGGGAGATGCTGTACCGGCGTGAAGAGTTTTCTTACCTTGGCTTGGAGGAGAAATTGAGATACTGTGATAGATGGAGAGATATAAGTAGGTGGAAGATTTTACACACATTGGTCCCTAAAAATACTCGTCCTAGATACACCAACTATTCGCGAGTGCTTTGGAACAATCCGCTATTGTATACAAGAAATAATCGCGCGTATAATTTGTCTAATTGAGAGATAAATCTATCTCACTGCATTAGCTGCAGAGAAATAAGGCGGCGCTTTCTTTTAAGCACGATATAGCGAGAAACGAATAGCGGCGTTTGCAGAACGAGAGAGGTGCGTGGGTGCCAGTACCACACGAACAATCCCTTGTTTTATATCTCAACGTCGTGATACACGGTGAAACGAGGAAATAGAAACAAAGCCGATAAATCCTCTTTTCCATATTACCCGTCGTTTAGCTCGTTGCCCTTTAAATTCTGCGTTACGCAAATAAAATAGAATTACCGTTTTCAAGAAAGACAATGTAGCAGGTAACGAGTACGCACAGTTTGCCGGCAGCATTTCTTCGCGAGCCGTCTTAGAGCGTAGCTTCGAAAAGGGACGAGGAGGAAAGAGAGCACGGGGAGAGACGTGAAAATAGGAGGAAGCGAAGGAGGCAGAAAAGAAACGGGGACGGGATATAACGTTTTGCCGAGAAAAAGCTCACGTGGCTCAACGAAGTTACTTGCGAAACATGCGCACGTGCACTTACAGCGTGCGCGAATGGTACATAGGTATGCAACGCGCTTGCAATCGACGAACGACCCGATACCCTCGTCGATATGAACGTCGCATCGCTGGTGGGTCAACGACGTTGCATGCGAGAGCGAATTCGACGCCGTCTCCGAAAGCGCGCTAACGTTGCGCATCGCCCATGGTCTTCGTAACGAATGCGAATCGGATATCGGGGCTGCGGATCGCGATGCGTTCCCGATGCGACGTACGACCCCGCGGCGTCCGCGAGGCGTTTTCAGCGCCCTGGCACCGACGGTTCGGCGGACGTGGCTTCTTGCGCCTTGGGCCGGCCCGAAAATCGGGACGGAGTTCCTGGAGGCATTCCAGAACTTCGAGGTTTTCGGCGCACTCGAGATTTAATACCGCGCCCCATCGGTCAATAACGGAATTGCAAATGCCTCCGCTTCGTCAGATAACTTTGAATTGTCCCCGCGAAGATGCGAGAGAATTGAGTTACATTAAAAAAGATTTTAAAGTGCCGCTTTTCCATTCCTCCTTTCACTTCCGTTTGCTCACTTCTGTCCTATTCATCTCCCTCTCTCTCT